TGCTATGTTTCTATGCAACTATGTGGACCTGAGAGGAAGTCCATGAATGCTTGCAGACACCCACTTATGCAAGTTTCCATCTTAGTTGTGCCCACTTAATGGGAGCTACTCCTGGCCTGTGAGGGGCATGCTGCCAGCAGTCATGGGGCTGCATTTCCTGTGAGCCTCCAACCACCTGCCTTCTTCAGTATCAGATGCTGCCACTCAAAGGGCAACTGCACTTTGTGTGTGAGGGGGTGCCTCTTGCTCAACATGTATGGCTCAATTCCTGGAGAGTTCCTCACAAATGCTGGGCACACTCACCAGCAAGTTGGACTCTGGGCTTCAGCAAAGCAAGCTGGAGTGTGGGGAGCCAAGCCCAAGGTATATGATGGATCCCCCAACCCCAACTGCTCACACATCCCTATAAGTGGCTGAATCATATGAACACCACTAGCTGGAAAAAGAAGTGGATAGATTTTTCTCCTCTCCTTGCTATTTTTGGGATTCCCACTGGCACCGGGTTCCTACTGCATACATTAAATGCTGACCTTTAAGGACTATTGGTCTCATGCATCATGGCTCTCATTATATTCATGTCTTCTTGGGATGCTGAAAACAAGATGAGAAGTCCCAACTGGTGGTGTACCACAGTCCCTAAAGGAGTCACAGAAATCACTTTGCACCTACTGTAGAACACTCACAGACACAAAGTTAATTCAAACTACTGCTGCAGAAGAGTGTAGAGGAAAGATCTGTATTTCACGAAAGAAGTATAGGCTTTAACATTCATTTTCCTCTCCAACAGAAAAAAAATATGATTTTCTCATCTTTACCACAGTAGTGATAGAGATGGAACATTCATCTGGCTGATCTTTTCCGGAAGGGTATGTCAGGGAAGGGCTTGAGAAGAAATATCTCCTCTCCTCCCCTGATGGCAAGTGGAAATAATTGAAGGAAACATCCCCATCCTCATGCCAAGGAACCTTGACTGGCCTTCACCCTCTCTGGCTTCTCCACAGATAGCTCACAATGGTTTTCATGCTACCTCATTTAGAAGAGCTAAAACACAGAGACATCCTATTTTATTGATTTGCTGCTGTGCAATAGGCAGTGATGCAGATGTGGCAAAGGGGGCCATGAGATGGGTAATGTGATTTGGCAACCCCAAAGAAAAGCTACCTTTGCTCCAGCCTGGGTCCTTCCATCCTGATTAAAGCAAGCAAATGTTTCTCCCTAAGGTTGAAACCATGCAAGCAGTGGCCAGACATGTGTGGGCCTGCTATTCTGCATGCTCCCAATTTTCCTTCAGAATGGACAAGAGGGTAAAATAAAGAGCAGAAATTCTAAGGGAATGACCAGGGACCAGAACTAAGGGCTGTCTTCTGGAGAGAGGGAAAACTAGAGTGCAGGTTGGGAAGCACTTAAGCATCATGTCTTACCTATTCCTCTGTTTGGCTGGTGACTCATCAAAGACATAGGGTTGGTAATGCATAAAATATTGTGAGGAAACAAACCCACTGATCAGGTAGTCTCCTGGCTGATAATAATTAGATGCTCCTTCTATAAACATGTTCTCAAGACATTTTGTCTTCTGCATCTCAGAAACCTCAGGAGGCAGCAGCAGGAGCAGCAGGAGCGCCGGCATTGGGATACCTTGCCTTGGTTTCCACATGCCCTATGTGCCCACTCTTCTCACCCGCAGACCCAGCTCCACCAGAAATCTCTGACCCTGCAGTCCCACAGATGCACTCTTATCTGAGCCAAAGGGGGCTTTTCTAAATTTCACATGGGCACAGTCCCTGCATCTCTCTGCCTGACCTGAGCCTCAGCCCAGGTCCTCAAGAGCACTGCAGGTGTTGCACACAGCCAGTTTCTCAGGAACAAGGCATGTCATCTCCTGATATTGCCCTTGATTTTGCAGTTTATTTGTTTCAAGAGAAATCTCAAGAAGGCCTCTAGAGTATTGGCCAGAGCCATATTAATCACTCTCTGATTAATATATCCTCTCTGCTGCTGGACCCATTGTGTGTCTCAAGGCACAGGGGCATGGAGGTAGAAAAACATGTTGTTAGTACTCTTTGATGAGGCTGCATCTTTTGCAAATAGAGAAGGTGCAGGAAGTGGGAGCTTGGCCAGTCCTCTGTCAGAGATACACCTGCAAAGGAACGCAGATCAGGAACATCTTTTGATATCTCAGCAGTGGGCCCTCTGTAGATTTCCTCATTGTTTCAATTGAAATCCATATTGTTTTCCCAAGTTGGTAAAGGTGGTCCTTCCCCTCCTTCTATCCAAGCACAATAAGCCATGTGGTGTGGGCAGTAGTGGGAATGACTAGGTTTGGGTTGAGGACTAGCAGAATCCACTGCTGTACCATGAATAGAATTCTGCTCTGGCTTGGCCAGCCATGGAAAGTACAGTAAGCTCAGAGGAAGCTTGTCAATACTCAAGGAAGAAAGCTTGTGCAACTGGGTGGTGCGCAGAAGAGCAATGCGTCTCCGACAGTGGTACTACCACGCTCCATTCCAGGAGGTCAGTCTGCAAATTCTGAGCTGGCATTCAGAGTCAGAGACACTACAAAGTGAACCAGAGTAGAGGGAGCCCAGCCAGGGTATCCAGCATATTCCTATTCCAATGACATCTAATCAATTCCTCACACATCCCTAGAAACAACCAGTGGTAGACAGCTTTCAAGCCTCTTCCTTCTGCGTCCCTGGACAGGAGCCCCAGTGAACTCATCTGATCTGTGAACAGTCAACGAATTCGCTAACTGAGGCATTTGGGAGGACTAAGTTGAATCAGGCATTCACCCCACTCAATTCCAGCACAGCCAAGCACTTGCCAAGCTCCCGTCACCCAATGAAGTAGCAACAGCTCCATCTTTTTTCATACTTCCTTTAAAGACAGCATCTTCTTCATTCATATATTGTTAGAGCTTGACAGTTTTCATGGTAGTATAGGATCTTTTCTTTCTTTCTGAAAGAAATGGTGACATCTAGCATCCATCAAGCAATGATCTCCCTGGTCTGTTGGAGCAATTTTTGCCCATGGGAAGAGCTGACCCCAAAACTCTTGGCTCAGGGAGGTTCATGCCCTGTGAGCAGCTGCAACAGATGCCAGAAAGGGCTGGTCAGCAAATGCTGAGGGTCTGTGAGCATTCAGAGATGTTCTCTCAGCACAGCTTGTTTTGTGTGGTCAAGACAAGCACAAGACAAAGTCCATGAATACTCAAGTAAGATTTATACCAACCCTGCTAATGAGGATAAAATGGAAAGGAGGAGGAAGAAGAAGATTAATTCAGCTGCCTTGAGATCCTGGAAAGGAAAAAAAAAGGGATATTAATAGATAAATGTGCCCTTCCAGATATACAGGTTAACTTAATTGGTAACATCATAAGCAAGAAATTGTGAATTCAATCCAGACAAGACGGAATTCCTGTTGGTGGGTGGTTCGGGCTTTGAGATGGGGGACTTGGGCCTTGTCCTAAATGGGGTTCCACTCCCTCTGAGGGACAGGGTTCGCAGCTTGGGAGTGCTCCTCGACCCTGAGATGTCACTAGAAGCTCAGGTGACGGAGGTGGCAAGGAGTGCCTTCCTTCAGCTTCAGCTGATCCATCAACTGCATCCCTTCCTGGAGAACGACTGCCTGGTGACAGTGACACACATGTTGGTAACTTCCCGATTAGACTTCTGTAATGTGCTTTATGTGGGGCTACCCTTGAAGATGGTCCGGGTACTTCAATTGGTGCAGAAAAGAGCTGCCAGATTGCTGATGGGGACTGGGCATTGTTCTCTTATAACCCCAGTTCTCTGTCAGCTTCACTAGCTCCTGATTGAAGTCCAGGCCCAATTCAAGGTGTTGGTTATGACCTATAAAGCCCTCAACAGCTTGGGACCTGGTTATCTAAAGGAACGCTTGTGTCCATATATGCCCTCCCACCCCTTGAGATCAGCAACAGATGCCCTTCTCCGGGAACCCTCCGTGAATGATATTAGGAGGGTGAGTACCCGGAGGAGGGCTTTCTCTGTGGTGGTGCCCCACCTACGGAATGAGCTCCCCAGAGAGGTCCGCCTGGCACCATCAGTATTTGTTTTTCGGTGCCAGGCCAAGACCTTTTTATTTAAAACTTATTTTAATTGTTAACTTATTATAGAATTTATAGGATTTTAAATTTTTAAGCCGAGATGCTACCGGGCTTTTTATTCTCTAATTGTATTAATTGTTATTTATATGTTTTAAGTATGTTGTGAGCCGCCTGAGGCTTTGTTGCAGTGGGGGGTGGCATAGAAATGTTTTACATAAATAAATAAATATTCTTTAAGCTTCATGTCACCAAAATAAAAGAACATCCAATAGTCTTCCAGCAGATGGAGCTCTGTATCCATGTCCAGTTACTGAGTTTTATTTCAAAAAGTTGAAACTATTATACATCCTTCATGAAGCAGAGGGAGCTCTCAATAACTTCTTAGTTATTGTTTTCTTTCTTCTAGACATTATACTTGTCCAGCAGTCAGGAATGTAAACAAGCTTTGTTATTTATAGATTTTGAAATATCCATATAAGTTTTTATATTTTACTTATTTTAAGATTTAATTTCACTGAGTACCTTAAAAAATTGAAAATGATGCTTTTACATTCTCACAAATCACAAGCCAGTCCCATTAGTATTATTTACTGTATCATCTTTTACTGGAGCTGTGCTGAATCTAATTAAGTTTAATTGCTGAAAATTTTACAGTCTGTAAGCAAAAGTATCTTTGATTTGCTTTGTGTTTCAAATCTCTTTTTCAGTATAATTGCTGTCTTAGTCTAACACAGTAGCAATCACTCCCCCCACTGAGGCATTTTCGATGAGAGTTTATAAACTGAATTTATTTACAGTCCATGAAACAGACCCTCCTTATTAAACTCCTGTCCAGTAGCAATCTCCTTCTCCTTCAAATTGCATCCACAGTCATCTGCTATCTCTGGGTTTTCTTGTTATTCTTAACGAGGCATTGACAGCTTTCTTTCACTGTCCTCTAATAATCCTTGAGTGTCCCATCCCCTTTAGTTTTGACTGTGAGATGCTGCTTTGTATTCAGATCAGGCCTCAGGACAATGATGTAGCACTTGGGAAGGAAAATGCAGACAAGTAGCCCTGCACTGGAGGCCAGGATGGAGAAGACCTGCACAGCCACCATGTACTTCCCCTTGGTGCTCAGGTAGGAGGGCACAAAGGACACCCAGACACTGCAGAAGACCAGCATGCTGAAGGTGATCAGCTTGGCCTCATTGAAGGCCCCTGGAAGCTTCCTGGCAAGGAAAGCCACGGTGAAGCAGATGGCGGCCAGGAATCCCATGTAGCTGAGGGCAGTATAAAACATGGTGGCTGATCCTTCATTGCATTGCAGAATTATCTTTTCAGGCAAGGAATGCATGTCAGACTCAGGGAATGGTGAAAAGACACCCAGCCATATGGTGCAGATGACAACCTGGACACTAGAACAGCAGATTACAATGGAGCATACAAAACTTTTCCCCAGCCATCTCTTCACGCTGTTCCCTGGTTTGGTGGCCAGGAAGGCCAGCACCACAGTGATGGTCTTTGCCAGCACAGAAGACACGCCAACTGAGAAGATGATGCTGAAGGCCATTTGTCGGAGCAGACAAGTTGCTTTGCTTGGCTGCCCAATAAACAGGAAGGAGGACAAAAAGGAAAGTAGGAGGGAAACCAAGAGGACATAGGAAAGGTCGCGGTTGTTGGCCTTGACCAGTGGGGTTTCTAGGAATTTGATGAAGATTCCTAACACAAATCCTGTGGTCAAAGAAGAGATGAAAGCAAAAGAGGCCAGGATGATTCCTAAAGGTTCTTCATAGGAGAGGAAGGTTATCTCCCTGGGGATGCATTGGTCTTGGTCCTGGTTTGGGTGCTGATTTTCTGGACACTTGTTACAATGCCCTGCATCTGAAAAGAAGGTAGGGGTATTCAGCATTGCCACCATTAATGGGACATCCAGAAAAGCCTTGATTCTGCTCATATGACTCAAAGAAAAGTATGTAGGCTATGACAGGGAGGAATTCTGTCTGGTCTGGCAGGGAAAGAGGCAAATGTTCTTTGGGAGGAGAGACACATTATGCTTACAGTGGGAGCGAGGTCAGGATCCTTTCCTTCATTCTGAGGAGAGGTGAGCTCCCCAGTTAATGGGCCTGCATAGATCATGTCGGCTGCCTCTCCACCAGAAGGAACCACCCTGAGTCTGCAGACATGATTTTACCAAATGGGAGTGAATAAGAAGTTCCAGTTTGGGTTCAGCTCTTGACATGATCAGTGGCTTATCTATTCAATTTAATCAAAGGCTACTTAGGGCCAAACTCTCTTCTTAGCAAAGCAATTTTAATATAAGTGTGCACTGCAAATCATGGTCTTGGGTGTTGGAGTCAGAGGAAAAGGAAGGAAGAGACTAGCTCAAAACAATGGCCACCAATCAAACACAAAGAGATTGGGCAGACTCAGTGATCAGCTGCAGTCCCTAAGGGAACGCACTTTCCTCAGAGAGCACCCACCTTCCTGAGTGGAGATGGTCCCTTCAGCACATACAGCACAAGCATAGCAGCAGGGTGGCTTCCCTTCTTGAACCTCCTTGGCATACCCAGGCCTACAGCTTGCCACGCACCTGGAAGGAGGCGGCACCTGGCAGTGAAGAGAAGAGCTTCAAGAAAACCATGTTAGGCATGTGCTTCTGTGGATGCAAACCTTTATGATTGGAAGGGCCCAAAAGAGTCTCCATTCCTAACAACACTGGGGACTTTTTCCAATTATTTTCCATATGGTGGCTTTGTGCACAACAGCAGGGCAGGGAATCCAGTTTCATGCATTTACTTTTTTCTGAATGTAAATCCACCCTTTCATTAGGAAAATATGGTCAAGGCAGGATATAAAAGTGAACTATGTTGGAAGAACAATAATTGGAGCAATGAAACTCTACCATAAAATGACAGAAGTACCCACAAAGCTTTAGATGAGCCCTTAGAAAACAGAATGGGGAGGAGCAGCAAGTAAAAATCTCCCTGTAAAAACCTCATGATACAAAGGTAGAATGGAATCATCAAGATCAATCCATTGTTTAGAAATCTTTGATTCCAGCCTCCAGTGCTGGAAAAGAAAGTGGAGAGAGAGTGGCATTTACAAAGAATGAAGCAAAAGTACTAAGGATAAATACTGTTAATGCCACTTTTAGTATTTGGAGCAAGTCATCACAGAACAATTCCCACCATACACAATGGCTGTATTTGGATGCAGAGCTAACAACAACCATATTTTAGTTTAACCATGCCAAAACTGGTACTGTCCAGATGAGTTGGACTACAACTTTCATTGGCCATGCTGGTAGGGCATGATGGAAATTATAGTCCTCACCGTGGCCCTGCTTCTAAGGGAGCAGGAGCTGAAGGCTGGAGAGTCAAGCGTGGGGTGGCTCCCCCGGCTGGGAGAGGGCCGTGAGGAGGAAGGTAAGGACTGCTTTCCAAGGCAAGTGGAGGTGAGGGCTGGGGCAGTGGCTGGCCAAGCAGGGTGCCTCCCACCTGTCCCCAGTGCAGGGGGAAGCATGGCAGCTGCTTGATGATGGCAGCTTGCTCAAGGGCCACAGCAGATGTGCGGGAGCTGCGGCTCCACTCTTGAGCCTGTCCGCTCCCATGCTCAGTGAAGTGGCTGCAGCTTGGCCCACAGCCTGGAGACATGGCTCACATTAAAAATAGATTTTAAAAGTTATATTTTTCTTACCTGCAATCCTTATTTAGTTTCTTTGTCTCTCTTTCTCTTCTGCCCTCCTCTCTTCTGTTTCCCACTCCATATCCCCACTCTATATTCAGAGCAAATGCATGTGTGCAATAGTGGGGGTAAAGTCAGTGTACGCACAATTGAAGGGAGCTGTTACAATTTGGCACATGTGCCAGCTCTCTGCTCAGTTTCAGAGAACGTCTGGGCCAGCTCAGAGCTTTCGGACTCGCTCAGAGATTATTTTCTCCAAATGAGTCCAAAAGCTCTGAGGCAGACTGGGTAAATGACCATGGTGGGCCATATCCAGCTTGCTGGCCATAGTTTGAGGACCCATGGTCTAGTTGGCTGGGAAGGCCCCATCTGACTCGCTAAGTTTCTATTTTTCTATGCAACAAGAAGACCCATTATGCTCAATGGGACGTCCTTCCCTAGAAAAGTGTGCACTGAATGACAATGTATGCCTTACAAATACTATTTGACTGATTAATCTTCACTCATGTCCTGAGCCTGTAAGAGGACACAAATTATTTTCCCCACCTTGTTAAAATGCCTGGGCCACACAATGGCTTCTGGCTTGATGCTGAGCTGTTTCACTGGGAACATTCCTCTCATCCAACTCCCAATGGTCACCATTCCAGGAGTATGATTGGGAAACAGCACCCAGTTCACAATATCAAAATCAGCTTCCAGCTGTCCATTCTTGTCCAAATTCAGCTCATCCATTGAAGTGTTAGAATGCCAGATTTCCCTTAAGAAAGCATGGAACTGGAATGACAGAGAAGACAACAAGGTAACATGCACACATGTTCAATGTTTTAGCCATCCATGCTCTGATCTTCCATGAACTGAAGTCAAGCAATTCAGAGTTGGATAGCAGTCCTTGGTGTTTTGCATCTGGAACACCTTGGATCTCCTGATCACCCTTAACGATGCTCCCCCAAAACTTAACCTACTCATTAAATGACATTGGGGACAATCATGTAACTTGTGGATCCATCCAGTTCAGGAAGCAAGAGGTCAAATATCAGTGTAGGGTACTTTCTAAAACCAACCCTTGGGTTGGAGCAGAACCACCAGAATGCTTCCAACACCCCCAGATTTATCCAGGAGGATATCTGACTTGAGAGTCTCAAAGTACAATGATTGAGCAAATGGAAGAGACAGGGACAACTCCTTCCCTTTCTATCATGGTCTTCAATCAGAGTATTGAGTGTGATCCAGTCCCACATCTAGACTGAAACAGGTCTAGGTAACTGGGATCCTTCAAACTCTCTGCAACTGGTCTGACACCACCTTCCTCAGAAACGTAGCTGAACTGGAGATACCAGTGACTTCATGGTAATTGTTCGATCCATCAGATTCATAAGGTTTTTCTTCAGCAATGGTGGCCCTGCTGCTTCCTTAAGAGGAGACACCACTACACTGTGTATGGATTTGTTTCCTGCACTCTAGATCTGCCCAGTTCTACTCTTCAGATAGCATTGATCAGGCAGAAAAAGTGGGGCCACTGATTGGATGCAACATTGCAAGGGCTTTGTCCAGTTCATCAGGATGACAGCAATGACATTCATTCCACAGGATGGGGCATACAGAGGCCTCAGAGAATTGAATGGCATTTCTTTCAATGGCAGCATCAAGCTCACTGCACAGATGAAAAAATTTTTTGCTGCAAGTGCTTTGCAGGGAAGAAGACACTGAGTTCTTGTGGGGACCAGTTGCAGGACAGAGTACAGGTTATCTTGGTCTTTCAGAACATGTCCCATGGCTAGGTACTTGGGGATACAGGAAAAAAAGAAGATGGACACTGTGTCCCTCTCTGCACTTCCATGCAATAACTTTGCTCATGTCAGCCCTGAATATTTCTCCATTTGGTGTGACACCCCACAAGGAAAAGGGAATACCTGCCACGGCTGCAGTCTCTGCTGTTCCAGCCTGTCTTCTCTACTAGCCATTGACAACAACTCGCACTGTGATGAATATGCAGTGTTTAAGGCATGGGCTACAGTCTGGACACTTCTGGAGGAAATGAAGCTGTCATGAGACAGGACCCTTTCCAGCTCCTCCTGGGACAGCATCTCCACTGCCTCTTTTGCAGTGTATCTCCTCCAACTTTTCATGGAGAGAAGATGTTTGGAATAGGAGCGGTGAAAGGCATTCTGCCAAAACCTAACCATAGCAATGTTAACTGGATTGAAGTAGTCATGTTTTGTCTTTCGTGGATTCTTCATGACGAAGGACAAGGAACCATGGAGAGGCTGAAAGGAAGCAGGATCCAAGAATAAGTTAAATTTGATCTCTTGAAAAGTTGTTGTAATACAGACCTTTGCTCCTATTTGCTCTCTTTCAAGGGTTTTTTGCAGGAAGAACATTTGGGCAATGCAGTGTACAGAGTCTGTGTAGAAAACAAGTACATTCACTTGCCTCCACACAACAGGAAGTTCACTCTGAAACATGTTTGCTTGACTAATTCGTAGTAGTCTTTTTGTGAAGGCAATGCAGATTCCATTACTGATCATCAAAGGAGTCAAGGCAGCCAGAAATCTCTCCCCATTGTCAGTATCAGGTGCAAGAAGACCGTTCCACATCCATCGAAAAAAGAGGAGCAGCTGGACAATGCCCAAGTTCTGAGTTTCTTCCCTTGGGGCCATCCGGTAGACAAAGGGGAACAGAGTTTTGTCCTCAAGGACAGGGTTAACAAAGCCATAACTGATCTACAGAGGAAAGGAAGAGACTGGTGGTTTGTGTTGTTTATCTTCATATCTGGACATGAAGTATCTAAGAAAAGACCTGCCATGAAGGTATGTCAGGCCTCTGTATGGAAGGAAGGACCAACATCTCTTAAGAACCTTCCATACAACAGACATCTAATAGCTGAATTTGTAAAGTGGGGCTCTCCTCTGTGGAGGGCTGGGGATGAACTGAGCCAGTTCCCCTCAATTTGGTGGGAGCTGGCCTTTGTTCCCCTTCCCAGTCCTACCTGTGGAATCTTGTAGATGTCAGACATGGCTGAAATAAGAATGGAGAGGTCAGATTCAGTCCCTTCAAGAATGGCCAGTGGGTTCTTCCTTCTCCCACAGCTGTAATTGGGAAGATGGTTTTCCCCACCTGCAGGCAGGATGAGCATGGCATAAGAAGTCATTCTGGCATCGAAATGGCTCTCGTAGATGCTGTAGCCCAGGGTGATGTTGGGCAATATTCTGGGATTCTGGTTGACCT